TTCTTTCTTTTTTCTTCCTTTTCGTTTCTTTCTGTCTCTAAAGCTCAGGTTTAAGTTAAACAAAACCTAAAATATTCAATGGTTAAAGAGAAAAAAGACTTAATTGGTGCTTTAACTGCCTTCTGGATTCCACCTCACTAATAAAGAAAAAGGATGACACCTTGGAGAAATTGTGATTAATGTCATGGGCATCTGAGCTGTATGTAACACTTCAAAACTATCGCTGATATTTTGCTTTCAGCAAAAAAAAAAAAAGAAACGAATTTCTTTCAGCTTATTGTCTCATATGATCGATATGGCACTGAATATTTTATCAAGATTAATAATTGACTCTCGCAAAAAACAAAATTTATGTCCAAATACCTATGAATCCAAATTACATGCATGTAATAGCATGAAGCATAGTGAGCATTTGCTGCAGCTACATGCTCCTGTAGTAAAGGAATTCTAAGTCCTGGCTTTTGAAGGATACCTGGAGGATAACTTTAGGAAATCCTGCTCCTGACCAGAGTTGTTTCATGGAGTAACTTTGTGTCCGTATAAAAGCTAACCGCTATTCCAAGTTCTCAATTAACACACTTTCTGAAATGAGGCCCAGATGTATTCAGACTTTTCTGTACCAAAATAGCTTGGATTTCTATAGACAAGAAAATAGAACAAATAGAACGTCTGGAAACAGAAAAGTATTAACTGATTTCCTTACTGAAGTGTAAAAGTAGGCAATTAAAAGTGAAGTTCACCTGAAAAACAACATGTAAAGGAAGCTGACTCTTTTTGCCTGTTCACAAAATACACAACAGCAGTAATTTTTCAAATTAAAACACAAAAAAGGTTCACACAGATACACCCGTCCAGACAATTAGATTTTTTCACATTTAAAAAAAAAAAAAAAAAGAACATATATAGTTTGAGAAGGTACTATCTGACAAAAAAATTTACAGAGGACTGAAGACATAGAAAGCGTTAATATCATTCATACAAGAACAAAACAGAAATAGTTCACAAAAACAGGATTGCATCCTTTTTTTAACCACACCCCCTTAAGAAAAATAATTGAGGAGGATCAAGACAGGCAGCAGTCATTCTCAGTATTTACATGCCATGCATAGACTCGTCTTTTGGTTGAGCTGCTTCAATGCTGTGATCTTAGACAAGTTAGTGGTTGTGCTGCCCATCCTCCCAGTGCATCCATGCAAATGCAAAAGAGGATGAGCAATGAACGTCTGGTGCACATGCAGTCACGCAGGAGGGTAGGGGAAAAAAAGGGAAAGGGAAAATATGGGGAGGGACAGAGTGGGGAAAAAAAGAGAAAGGGAGCAAGAGAGAAAGAGGAATATAAACAAGAGTGATGAACACAGAAAAGTGTGACAAAGAGAAGAAGAGAGAAAGAAAGAGGATCACCTCCCCCTCCCAGTGGGTGCCGGAAAAACACAGTCTCTGTGTGAGGGATATTTTTCACAGAGGGGAGACTTACAAAGGTGGGGCTTTCAAGAGGTAAAAATGAAATAAAAATAAATGCACCACTAGCAAAAGAAGAGAAAAAAAAGCTTAAGATGTGGGTCAGAGGTCAACATGAGGTCGGCATGAGGTCAGAGTTTGGAGAGAAGTGAGGAGGAGGAAGAGTAGGGCGGCTAGGCTGCAGATGACATGTCCAGAGAAACACAGAAAGGACAAGATTCACAGGGGATGAAAACATGGCTCCCAAAAAGACATTCAGTGCACCAACATTAACCCTCAACAGACTCAAACTACTGAACATGCAACCACAGGCAGAAAGAATTAAGAGGTCCTGTCTGAAAAAAGCCCACACGAAATATCGCTGAGGTGGAAAACACCTCCAATCTCTTTTATACTTAAATCTATTTATATGATGGTTATTTGAATAAGTAAGATTGACCCTAATTTTTAGCTATTTGACATTTATAGATGTAGAGCTAAGATTACTAACACATTTTTTAGAATGCTAGAGTAAATATGGAGCAGCCAGTGTGTTTCATAAAGTGTCTTAATTGTATTTTAATCCTCAAACTTTTCTATATTTTGTCACATTATAACCAGAAGCTAACTGTTTTTGAGTGGGCCTTTATATCATAGACCAAATGAACAAAGTTTTTATTGTGAAGTGAAAGAAAACACCAATCCCATTCTATCAGTACCTTTATATTTAGCCTCCTTTACTTTACTATGATGCCCCTAAATAAAATCCAACACAATCAACTGCTGATGAAAGTCCCCCTATTAAACAACTGCTTCCACTTGTGTAGTTTAATATCACTTTAAATCCAGATGTTTTTAAAGGCCTCAGAGTTGTTTATAGAACATGAGTCCTTTAACAAACATCAAGATGTAGATCAGGGAACGCAGCATACAGGTCAGAGAGAAATCTGTTAAAACAGATTTAGGTTATAACATAATATGCCAAGCTTTGTAAATCTGGCATAGCTCTATTTAGTGCCTTATCTAAAAAGTTAAGGAAGATCTTTCAACAAAACTAACACAGAAATACAGTAAGTGCTTTATGCTGTAGGGATGCTTTCCCGTTGCAGGATGCGGCGGCTGGGTGAGTTTGTGATGGGAAGGTGGATGGAGCTAAATAAATAGCTACTAAGGCAGATGTTCACCTGTCAACAGAATAACAGCCAGATTTAAAATGGCATGTTTTAGATAGAAAGTTTATGGGTAAGAGCTGCCAAACCATGTTTACACCTATATTAATTAGAAAATATGAGACAAGAGTCAAAAGTTGTTAGTCACAGACCCTCTCTCTCTCTAATGAGTAGCTTGAACAATGCTGCAAAGAAGACTGGATCAAACATTTATTCTCTAGGGGAGCATAACCATTAAAGACGTACTGTAACAGACTTTCGTCTTTAGTTGCAGTAAGTGGGGGTTCATCAAAGTTGTCAAAGCGGTGGTGAAAGGGCAGATACAGTTTTCAGATTTCTGGTTAGGTCAATATTTTCATTTTATTGCCAGCAGCTGCTACAGAGTTTCTTAACCCTGGTCCTCAGGGCCCTCTGTCCTACGTGTTTTAGGCGTTTGCCTTCCTCCACACAGCTCACCTGAATGAAAAGGTGACTGACATTTTTTTTTTGCAGCATCAGATGGCTGCAGAGGAGATAATGTGCTCAGTTGACTTAGGTGTGCTTAAGTAACGTCACATCTAAAAAGGACAGTGGGCCCTGAGGGCCAGGGTTAAGAGACCCTAAACTATTTTGTGTTGGTCTCCTTTATAACATCCCATTGAAATAGAGTAATGCTTTTAGGTCTAATGTGGCAAAATACATACGGGTTAATAAGTTTATGAATATCGTAATGAGCTATTTTATTTACTTTGCCACAAATTGGAAGAGCTTAAGATCACAACAGATACAATAAAGCTTTCTTCAACTTTCTCCTGTCTTTATGTGAAACTAACTCATCAGCACATAATAAAAGGAGTCTCACTTTATTTACCTAACCTTTAAGAACTGCTGAAAAAAAGAAGCTTTTAATAAAAAAAGCTAATTTTCTGTGATAGTTTTGTTTGTTTGCTTTTTNCACTTTATTTACCTAACCTTTAAGAACTGCTGAAAAAAAGAAGCTTTTAATAAAAAAAGCTAATTTTCTGTGATAGTTTTGTTTGTTTGCTTTTTATTCTATGACATCTAATTCTCTTAAAATTACGGGTGGATGACACAGCATTCACATATTTAAAGCAGGAACAGCCTGCTATGCTGTGTAGATCAATGGCAGATATGATCTGATTCCTTTTTTTTTTCTCTTTCACTATCATGATCATATTGGTGAGTATATTGCTCAGTTTTCTTCATGGAGGGCTGGCTACGTCATTGTTTGCACTGTATACAGAGAGAACAGCAGGCATTCTAAGACACAGGAGCTTTAGTCAGCCATGAGGTGAAAATGGAATCAGTCAGACCAAGGGTAAAAAAAACAAAACCTGAAGGGCCAACAAGTGCCAGTTGAGGTTTTAGGTAGTTTTATGATTTATAATTGATAATATTTAGTTTACATAAAATTTAAATTGGATTAAAAACCTTTAAATCACAAGCTAAACGTTGCATAGCATATCAAAGATATTTCATATCCCTTTATTGTGTATTGTGTAGTTTCATCTTTTAAAGTCATTAAATAAATTACGTTTATAATTTATTTAACTTTATCCACTCGAAATATTAGTAAATAAATACAACAATCGGAATAGATTAAACTAATGCTTTAAGAAAGATGGTTAAAGACTTTCTGCTCAAGAAAGCAGGAGATCTTTGGATGTGGGAAGATTGGTTTATGACACAAGTTCAAAAGATTTGGATTCTACACTCTTTTATTTTTTACTGTAAATAACTGCATATCTCTTAGACAAAAAAAAGTTATAGCATTGGTCCAAAGAGCTTAAAATCGATAACCAGGTTCAGAGAGTTGTAGGAGTGTCCTGAGTTCCACTGCATGTAGCTGAGGTAAAATCCTGAGAAATGTTACCGCTTGTGGCAGTATCCCCATGGTTGGAAATAAGGAGACATACAGTAAGAAGAACAGAGAAGATTCACAGGGGACCGCATAGATCTTCGACATCAGGAGATTTTAGGGGAAAAGAGGAAGTACAGCAGTGCTAAAAGTTTGTAAATTATTTAAAAAAATATCATCAAGGTGAATAGATAGTTTCTGCCTATTATTCCTGAATACATTTTCCTTTGTTTGGGGGTTAGGGGGGGAACTGGAGTTTAATCCAACTAAAGCAAATCTTTTCTATTGTCCCTCTGAAATAAAAAAAAGCTAACCATTTCCTCACTAGATAGGTGATTAGTTTTAATATTTAGTGTAATCTCTATTACCTCTGAGGACTTAAATCAGATAATTTGGATGATTATTCTGTCAGAAAAGAGTCAAAAATGTTCACAAACTTCCCGCACCACTGTATATATTTACAGGAGCAGCTCTGGATCAGGGCATAAGGCACAGTGGGAATGGGCCGCACTGTTGAATGCAAGTAGAGTCCTTACCATTGGTGATACCAGGGGAGAGGTGGTCTCTTTCGTTGTGTCTCCGTCTGTTGAGATCATGGGAACCTTGTCTTATAGGCTGGTGTGGTTGGCCCTCCAACATGTTGATGATGTCCATACGATCGATGTTCTTTAGGGCTGTGTACAAGCTCTCCACTGAATGGAAAACATAAAACTCAATCAGGAATGCATGGCAAGCTGAAATGAGAGGGCAGGTCACTGCTTATCCTTAATTGGATTCCTCATTAGCCACTCCTTTGTTGACTTATAGTTATAAAATAATTCAAAAAATAAGTCATTGACACACTGGGAGTCCCGTCATCGAAGGATCTTAATTGTTTACGATGAGATAATGATGAGGTCCAAGATTAATACTACTACTGTTGTTGTGATCAAGAAGCTCACACTATGTAGTTGTGTGCTGATTCCTCAGGTTTCTCTTGATCTGTCCATCCTTGAGACATAATCTCACATAGAGCTCCAGACAGAGAGTATACTGTAATAATTTTGTATTTCATCCATTTCTAAATTATCTCTCCCCCAATATTTCTGCTAATGGTGTTTATAATTTATTCCAAGCCTGTGCAGCTGTCCCTTCTTTCTGACAGTCATTGACCATTCGTGGAAAGGCTTGGATGGAAGAAACAAGGCTTAGAGATATCATCTGGGTCATGGCAACCACAGAACAGCCTTAAATCTGAGGAAACCAGACTGTTGCTCAGCTTTTTCTGAAAATGCTTTGAATTACATAGATCATATGACCTACATATGCCACACAGTTACTGCCAACCTGATTTCTGTGGTATAACTAATTCATAATTAATTCAAAGCTGCTAAAATGATCACATATTGGCAGCTATTTCATGTCAGATTTTTTTGCTTTAAATGATAAGTTTTCCAAAACTGGTGACATGCTGACTGGAAAATAATGAATGAAAGCAAGGGAAAAGTAAACGCTAAACTTAAATCGCATTCACTCACTTTTAGCTCTTTTGCCTTCACGAGTTGCCCACAAGTTGAGCAGCGCAGAGCTCTGTTCAAGAAGGGAGTTTGGATTCTCAACACGAATCCTGTTGATGTCATCGACACTGAGCTGCAGCTCACGCGCCAATTCTGGTCAGTAAACAAAAAAACATCATTAATGATTTTTGAAAAATGTGTTTTCAGGCCTAAACCCCTGCAGTTTGAAATGTGTCACACTTATTCAGAAGGCCCTAGAGAGAAAGAAAGATTTCTCTGTATAACAAATATGTATACAGACAGGAAAACAGCACATGATTAGATTACATAATGTTGGAAGCATTGTACCCGCCCTTTTTAGACATTAGATAAACACAGATGGTGAGCATAAAAACAGCTTTAACATATTTTCAATATTTACTTACCAGCCCAGCTCAGTCCCAACTGCTCTGCAATCACAGCCATCTTCAGCTCTGTCCTTTCCATTGCACTCATCGATGCTGCAGAAACAGGACCAGACAGAAAGCTTTCCATCTCGCTGTATTAAATACAGCCAAGAGCTGTTTGGTAAATCTCTAAAATTAAATTATAAAACAACTCCACTGAGCCTTTTTTAAAATATAACTATGGTACATATTAAGTGATGCTAAAATGAGAGTCTCTTACCCATGGCAGGCTCGTTAAGGGCACTGTATCTTTCTCTTAAAGCCAGTGGAGTCAGAGTTCGCCTTCTATCTTCACTACCAATAATCTAGTTTAAAAAAAAAGACAATTTTAAGTCAAACTCTAAAAATAATAATTTGTCATTAAATATAAATAAGCTCAAAACAATTCACCCCTTCCAGATTTAGGTTTAAAACATTTTTTTAAGTTTTAACAACATCTTGCTAATGACTAAAGAAGATTAAAGTTTCCTCAGAACCACGTCTTAAATCTAATAGAGAATCTGTGCAGGGAGACAGAAATTAGGGTGATGTAAAAAAACAAACAAAACAACTTTAATCTCAAAAGTTCAAATCTCATCACCAAATATGACTGATCAACAAACCAGTGGAAACATGCAGAAAGCTGGTCAGGGTGATAAAATGGGGTTCATTACTGATATGAAAACCGTCTTTTAATATTAAAAGAAAAACATTTCCCTGTCATATCAAGAAAGGTATTTCGTTTAACATGCCATTGTATATAAATAAGAAAATAGATAAATAGATTCCAGAACATTCCATGTAGGTGTACATTTTCTCAAAAATAATTTCAAATCTAAATCTGGGAGTTTTATCTCTAATTTTGGGATAAAATTAAGATTTTGTCTTTTCATCCACAACCAAAAAAAGGTTTACCTTGATACATGGAGGCATTGTGATATTAAGGTTGCAGAGCACTTGTTGGTTGTCTTCGTATTTGGTAGACTTGCGTAGGAAGGATAAAAATCCAGCAGGTTCCTTACTGCTGTCTCTCACCTGCAAAGATAGAGAGATATTAATGAGCTGTTTATTTTATGTGAGCTTGAATAGTGATCTCCTTGCAAGAGTATTAATACCCCTTAAACTGTATTCATTTTGTAACATTATAACCACATTATAAACACAAACCTGTACTTTACCTAAACTGTATATGGCAGCAAGGAGTTAATAACTCTGGAGGAGAGGAAGGAAATGTATAGTTTGTGTGCTTGTACATATATACAGCCCGTCTAAATCTAAACTAAGTAGAACTACCTTTGCTAAGATTACAGCAGGTCTTTTGAGTGTATACTTCTAGCGTAGCTCTACATTAATATAATTTACATTAAAATAATATAAACAGTAAAAAAAATGCTCAGACAAAAAAAGTAAACAAATATTTAGTAAAAAAAAACACTCAAGTAACTGAATAACTGGCATCTGATTTACTATATAAAATGATTAGATAGACCAAAATATGATCTGCCAGATAAGTAGGTTTTATCAGATTTGGGTATTTTTAAGACAAAAAAAATATTACAAATAAAAAAAAATATAAAATGAGAACTCAAGCAGAATAAATTATTCTGCAAATCCAATTTTTACATAAAACATGGAACCAATTGCTCCCCAGTTGCGGTTTCTCCAGAGTTACCATGCACCTCTTGGCTCTTCATTTAAGATGGAAATTCATGTTTTGTTATTTTTTTGTTATTTTCTGTCAACCCAAACCTGCTTTGACGTTCTCTAAAACTTGATCACTGTGCTCTATGTAGTTCTTGGTTTTCATTATGCTGTCAGTGCATGATGTGCAATGACAATACTCTGATGTTTTACAGGTTGATTTATACTTAAATGAAGTTACACACAGCTAGGGAATTTCATAGTTAAGGGGGTGAATACTATGCATATTGCATTTTTTGAATTATTTGGAAAAAAAGCAAAACTTTTTGCTTTCTCCTTACTGTAGCACTGTCTTTGGATTATTTGTCAATTAATATTCCAGTAAACAAAATGGATGTTGGTTATTAAAATGTGACTAGATGTGAGCAAATTTAAAGAATACTTTTCAAATGCAGAGCATAACTTCAAACCAATATGGAATAGAGGAAATACAGAGTAAAATCAAAGTTGTGCTTCAAATTTATAAAGTCATACATTGGATCTTTCAGTAAATCCTGGACAAAAAAAAAAAAAAACATTTCAAATGCATCTTCAAAAGTCTCTATTTGATATAATAATCAGGCTATAATGAGTGCACGTGAATCTGTATTAGCAATGTCAAATTGCAGAAAATAAGGTAAAAAACCTTAATGGAGACTGGAAGCCTGTTGTCCCTAAAAGCCTGGAAACTAAAGCAACGAGGCTGCTGTGTGGCCTTCCTCACTGGCACTAGGTTCCCTGAACACTCCAGATGAAGCGGCATTCCCTCCATCACCTGCAAGACACAATTCATTATGATTAATCATGTTTTATCAGTGTCCTCAGGCAGGAAAAAAAAACTCTTAGGTGTTTGTCTCAGGCTGCCTGTTACTCAACTGACCTCTATGTCTCGGCTGCGAGCCACTTCTGTGAAGTTTTCATGCTGTTCCAGAGTTTTATCCATCTTATCGTCTGTCATGCAGTAGCAGCGCAGACGTCCCTCACGCAGCTCATTCATCTTTGCGAACACCACAAACTTGGCCATGTAGGGTACAGCTGATAGCTCTTTGTAGAGCAGGCTGGCAAAGGAGACGGCCTCAGCTGTCCGAGGACAGTCAGCTAGCCAGAATCTATCAGCAAACAATCACCAGGGATGACAATGCTGGACACAGATTCTAACTTTCTTTGGCACAAGAAAAAGGAGCTTTAAGGCATAAAAAAAGCTGTTTTAATTGATAAAGTGTAAATGAAACCTGTTGAACTGACCGTGCAGAAACATTGGTGGTAAAGCTGGCACAGTCATTGGCATAGAGGAGCTTGGTAGTGCCAGTAATGTCTTCCCATTGGGCTGGGGCTGTCCCACCTGTCAGTTACACAGCGTGGGAAAGAGGAAACCCAGGAATCAAGGTAGCAGGGGAGAATCAAATGATGACCAACATATTTTTCTTTTTATTAATAGTTGGTTCATGCAGTACCTATAACAGAGCAGAGAAGACGCAGACTGGTGGTGTCACCCTCCCCCGAGTCTCGTGGACTCTCCCTCCAGGATGGAGGCAGGGGTATGCGCAGGCCGATGGGGCGGTGGAATTTGCGCCGCCGAGGCTCCACGGTGACTACAGGGCTAAAGTTTGCTTGGTTACCCAGCAGCTTTGCAACCAGCTCATCTGGAACTGGCTGGGCCTGAGGTGGTAAGCAATGGGGGGAGGAAAACGCAAAAGGGGTACAGGTTGGAAAATGTGGGAGAAAATAATGGTTGTATAAAATAAATGAAATTCCAGAGATCAGAGTAGAGATTTATGGAAGGATGAAAAAAATAGGGGGTAATTAAAGATAAAGAAAAAAGAGAGAAGAACACCAATTAAAACCTTCTGATTTTGTTGAGAAAAAAGTGACACAAACTGGTTCTATGCATATAAAACAATTTTTATTATAAGAATGGGTGTTAACAAGGTCTTACAATCATTAATACAAAAAGGGATATCAACAAATAAGGCAACTTGGTTTCTTAGACCTATTGATTTTCTCTACAATAACATTATAGCTATAGCTATAGATAAATGGATTTCTTAACATCATAAAGGAATTCTTTCTTTTAATGAAAAAAAGTGAATCATAAAACAATCTCTTTTTCGTCTCCTTCTACATTCAGTATCACAGGTTACAGCATGATGGCAAAAATATCTGTAAGGCATCTTGGTCTTTACATAGATTAAACTATATGTGCTTTTGAAATCCGAGGATCCTAAACATACATTTAACAGTTAATCTAACATGTCATTACCTGTTTTGATATTTTAAGTTTCTCTTAAAAGATGAAAATATTATAAATGTGGAATTAACTTCTAACTAAACTACTTAAAACCAATTTGGTAACCATACAAAAATAAATTTGCTACATAGGAAAGATGGTATAATGACCAAAAGGACACAGGTCAGATATTTGTGGCTTCAGAAATCAATTCAAAAACACAAATTGTGTGGTCCTTAACAGTACATTCAAAATGCTTAAATAGAAAGGCACCTTATGAATCAATCTACTTTATTAATGAAATGTATGTAATTAGTTATTTGGAGCATGTGAATAAAGGAATAATCATGCTTTCAAAGTAATTCAGATGAATGAAAACATCCCTTTACTGCCGAAGACGTACATTTCACAATTAGTGTGAATTTGAATAAGGTTTTACGGACAACTTTAAAAACGTCTGAGCCCCCAAAATGAGAGACTCACAGCAGAGATCATTTCTATTGACTTTCTCCATTAAAGTGGACATTTGTTTAGCACTTTTTTTGTACAATAAGATAAATGAAGTTGTACTTGAGGGTTTTCAAAACTTGATTTAGGTGTTAAAAGATAAAGTTCTTGGAGGATCACAGTACTTAACTGAATCTTTAGAAAAAACAAATTATTTAAAGGACAAATCAAAAGTATATTTGTCGAAAACCAGACAGTACATTGTAAATAATTGCTGTAAGTAACTGTCAACCACTTAAGTTGAGGTTGATTATTTTGGAGGCACAATGTTGTGCACAATCCAGAGTTTTGGTCAAAAATAAGAACTCCTTTATATTCCAAAATTTCAAGAGAGCATACGCTTGGTTTAAAAAAAAACAAAAAAAAAACATGCAAAATGAAAAAATGCTAGATGACTGCAAATCTAAAAGGAAATGACTGAAAAAGAAGAGAAATGCTGCACAGTTCAATGTTCACACCCCAACCTGAGGCAGAGTATGCATTAGTACCTTTAGATAATCACATGAACCAGTTATGTAAAGATATCAGAATACTGCAACAATGATATCAGAGATAAATAGTAGAAAACTTTTATTTTAAGTATTATTCAGCTAAATGTGTTGTTAAATCCTACTAAATTATTGATTTATTGTGTCCAAATCTTGACTTAGATAAATTATACCAGTGTATTATTATATGTCCTGTTGTTCATCAGGGGTATAATTTACCTAATAATACCAGCTACATATTATTATGGTTCTTGGTTGTAAACCTAAGAATGGAATTTAAACGAAACTTAACCCTAAAAGAGCAAAACAAGTATTGAGCCAATAATTATAACATTAAAAAAATGGCACTATGTCAAAATAGTTTTACCACAATTTCTCCAGTGTGGGACAATTAAGGGACTTTTTTCTATTGTTTAAGAGATTTATAGCTATATCCTTTAACTAGATATGATTTCAAAGTTTAAATGTAATCTAACACTTACATCACTCCTTTCAATCAATTTTTTTAGAAATAAAATTCTGAACTGACAAACAGTGAGGGCAAAGAAAGTTAAGGTTTATATAAAGCAAGAAGTTGGAGTTTATCACTAGTTGGATAGTGCTTTTCCTATAAACTGTCAGTTGTTGAGCTGGATGAGTGGTCCACAGGTTGAAAACCTTTTTGTGCAGCAAAACATTTCTTTTCTTTTGAAATAAAACTTTCAAGCACAGTTAAAACTGAAAAAATACACAAAAACACAGCCTTTCCAGCAAAAAAAAAAAAAAAGCAAACAGATACAAATTCTTAGGCATCTCAAATAAATGTGTTAAATATTCAATGTACAGGCTTTGTCAAGGACATAAATACTTAAGGAGAACGGGAAATAATTTTTTTTTCAAAAGGCTGATAAAGGTGACAGGTGCATGCAAAATGAAAAATAAAAGGCAAAAAGGTCCTCCAACATGACTAAAAACAACAGAACAAGCTTGGCACATGACATGAATTTGTGGTGAACCAAAGTAAACGTAACATGCTTTATTTCAAGCATTAGCAATTTTGTCTCTCCTCTCCTCTACTTCTTCCTCATCGTCCCATCTCACCTGCAGCCCGAGACGGACTCTTTTGGTAACTGCCGTCTCAGGAAACGTGGCCTGCACCATTGGGACCAGTTTACTGGTAAGCGAACCTCCCTCTGGACCAATCAGGTCACTCTCTTGTTGGACTCTCGACACAACCGCAAAGTAAAGGGGGAAGTCAGTAGAAATGATGCGACGGATTCGCTTCTTGCTAAGTTCCTCTTGACTTTCCAGTTCTGTGATGAGAGGCAAAGTTATATTTTTTAGTAAATGTTTCAATGGGAACAGTACATGGCTTTCAGTTTAAAATGAATGTTGAACTTTAACTCACCCTCATCCATTCCATTCAGGATTGTTTCCAGAACCTCATCACCATACCGGTTGCGGTGCTCCTTCCAGACAGATCCGTTCTCGCTTCTGAGCACAACAAGCTCTCTGTCTCCCCGACCCAGAGCAGCAAAGTGGGGGATCTCCACAATCACCGGTCTGCCATAAACGCAGGGTAAATAATAATAAAAAAAAAAAAATCAGGATCCAAATATGCAAAGATCAAATAAAATAGGAGGGCTTCTTATTGAGGACAATTGGGGTGACTGATCCATTTACAAATAATACATTTAGATATTCAACAATAAATTGAACAGATTGTTTGGGGAAGGGTCGTCCACTTTTAGGAGACTGTGCTTTGCTCACCCCAGAAACTGCATCCCCGCTGGACCTAGAGAAATGATCCTGCTGGCCAGCCCCTCTCCCTCCACCAGAGGTGGGGGGCTGGTCAGCTTCTGCGGCTTCACCAGGCGGCAGGTAATGCGAGTGGGTGCCGCACACGTCCGTGGAGGTATGATGACACGCAGACCATTATGCCTGCTGCCTCGCATTGAACCGCCTCGAGCATCCACCATAAAACTGACCAGAAACCTGTTGGTGGGAAAAGTAATGAGAAAACCCAAAACCACAACAACAAAAAATAAAGAATAAAAGTGCTTGCTTGTGCTTTGGCTGTCCTGACCCTGTGTGGATGGGACTGGCGACTGGGCTGACATTGTCAGACGTCTCAGTTGCTGGACTGCTGGGAATCAGTGAATCGTCGTCGTACTCTTTGGGTAGTGGAAGCGGCGTGTGTTGCTGCATGAGAGCAAACATGGATCATTAATGAATTTCTGTTCAACTTAAAGGTATATAAGCAATCTTTTATTTACAGGTGGATCATCTAAATAAGTGGTCCTCCAAATTGTCAATCATTCTGATAAACTGATATGTTTATGTAAGGTCATCCTATGTGTTTGTCCCATATCTTTTTCTGTGCATTTTCAGATGTATGTGTGGTGAGCTACGGTTTCAGACAGTCATTGAAAATGGAGAAGGGAAGTGTATGAGAAGAAAAAAAAAAAGGTCTAAGAAGAGGCAGATATATCCTGGAATGCTTAGTGCAGAGAGCAAAGCATTATGGGATTTGCTGTCACAACGGCCCGCTGTTGCCATAGGCTATCCAACAGTGGCGACCAACAACTAAGATAGTGCAGGCACCCTGCAGTGGAGGAGGAGTTACGTGACCAATGGAGCAAAAAACCGTGATCATCTATCCGAACGGTCAGTAGTTTGCTATAAATTCCACTATTTAGTCCACGCTGTACATAGTGGTCAAGGGATTTACGGGTTTGGGCG